AAGCACGTAGACATAAGGAGAAAAGCTTGATGCATCAACAAAGACTACACCAGCTCAACTTTAAGTTGAGACAAATGCCCCGACGGATGGTCGAGATTCATTCAAAACCCTGTGTACATAAAAGAACTATGCTACCCTACAAAATTTGACATGCTGGACTCAATGGGTTATCGAAACTTCCAACAGAGATCATGTCGATGAAAAGTGAGTCTCACACCTAATACTTCCTCTTAGGAAAATGCCATAAGATAGCTTGAAATGAGCCTAGAAGTCATAAATAACTTAGGGGTACTATATGAAGGCTCTAAATGCTAAAAATATAGGAAAACAGGAAAAATGACCTAGAGGGTCATTACAACATCAACTACTAATAGGAATTTCATCCAAAAGTAAGGAGTCAAAAAGTACTTGAAGAGTCAAACATGTGAGGATACTGGACTCACAAGTCATGCTTGGTCTCTAGGTAGCCTCCACGAATGGATGATGCCTCCATAGACCTTAACAATAGGAATCTCTTCCGAGCGCAACCACATGAATGTCTCGCCAAAACAAAAATTGTTTCCTTGATAACGTTCAACTACATATGTAAAATTAATGCATAAACAATTATTTGTAATATATAACCCAACTAATAGTTAGGGTCTATCCCACAGGGAATGAATGAATATAATTCAGATTATAATGTATTTTATCTCATTAGAAGTCTGTACGTTGATACAATTCATGCATGAAAGTAAATTTGAGGGGTTGAGTAAAAATTTGAACACAAAATCTAAATAATTACTTGATCACAATAATTTCACAATTGCAAATGATAAAATAGGGTTTATCACAAGTAATTGGAGAGTCTTCAGAATGTGATAGTATGGACTATAAACTTGCAACTTGGCATTGATAATTGCTAGAATCAGTTGAATATCACCGGGTAATCTAGAATATATGGAATGATAGTTATTTTTCAATCAACTATCACCACTCATACGGGTTTTTATCAAACTCCAACATGTAATACACAAACCAATATAATACTTTATTTTAGCCAAACTATTTCAAGCTTCACCTATAAAATGAATCAAATCGAATCATTATCAACCATCTCTTATCACTCTAACGACCTTTCACAAGCAACATTAGAGATCTAAAGTAAATTAGAACTTGCAGCCTCAAATTATATATGAAAACATAAAGAGATAGTTGAACCCAAATCAACTCAGCATTTAATAAGCAATTAAGTGACACCCTATCATATATTTATCATATATACTGTCATATCTGCCAAGTAGACAAGACTAAGTGTGAGAAAGAGGTAGGGTTATTGTAGCCTTTGCCTCTTCTAGAACGGGCATGGTTGTTGGTAAGCATGGATTTCATTTAGGGTTTTCCTATGGTTGAGGGTAAAACATCGATAATGGTGATGGTAGACAGGTTTTCAAAGTATTCAATCTTTATTGCTGCACCTAACTTGTGTTCATCAGAAATAGCTATTGACTTATTTTACATAAATGTGGTTAAATAAGAAACCTTATCTGCAGATGATGGTGATCCAAACAAGAAACCATCGAAGAGGGTTCCTCCTTCTTTACCAATGCAGTTTGATGCAGATATAAAAGAGATAGGAAGAAGCAAGAAAAATACTAAAGACAGAATTATTAGTTCACTTGAAGGGAAAAAATGTTATTTGGGTGAAGGCCAAGGACTTGTGGAAGTTTGATAACTATCGAATCGAGAACTATCTCAAATAAGAGCATCGAGTTCAAGAAGTGGATTCGGTTGGTTATAACCCTAGTTAGTCTAACTTAGGGACATGTTTAAAAAAAAATCACCCCCACCTCTTGAACTTGATGCCCTCATAGAGACAGTTTTGAGATAGTACTTGATTTGGTCATCAAAATTCCACAAGTCCTTCCTAACGAACGCACAATGAGTTTTTTTTGTTGATAAAGCACAATACTTGTATCAGAAATTAGTTTCAGCTATCAGCTGCTCTGATGGGTGAAATTATTCAACTCAATTAAATGTAAGAACTAATTATATATTTTGTGTGAAGAAAACATTAATTTTAGTCGGTTGGTAATATAGAGGCTCTAGAAAACATACCAGACTTATAATGGGAGATAAAGCTTCATCGAATCTTAGAAAAGAAAAATAAATTATTTTGTCCTTCAGTCTGTTCTTTTTATTACGAACCGTCTATCATTTTCTAAGAAAACTATATATTTCGACTACTTGAGTTTGTTTTACTTTTATATTCTTCCGAGAAGGAAATTTTGGGATTGTCTTCCTTCTTAGCTTAGCCATTTGAAGGGTATTTCTATTGATGAAGGGAAAATGAACAAAACATGCAATATATATATGGGATAAGGGTCTGAAAAATATCTTAACTTTGGTCGAATTTGCTGTTGCGATACTAAAACTTTCATGAGGACCTATTACTTTCCTAGACTATTTAATACCGTATTTTAAACATATATATTTGTCCACGTGGACATAAAAAATAATACAAAAATTATAAATAGTAATATGTCCACGTGGGCACATATATACCTTTAAAATACACTATTAAATAGTTTAGGGGGTAAAAATACGGTATTAAATAGTCTAGGGAGGTAATAGGTCCTCATGAAAAGTTTTAGTATCGCAACAACAAATTCGACCAAAGTTGGGGGTATTTTTCAGACCCTTATCCATATATATATATACTAGTTTTTCGACACGTGCATTGCACGTGATTATCAATTCAGAAAATTTAAGCGAAGATTTGAATAATAAGCTTTGCACAAAATAATATTGCAGATTCTTTTGTGAATGTTCAATGTGGATCATCATATATATCTCTTATTCACACGAACCTATAAAGATGGTCAATGAAAAAATTTATTAGTTAAATGCAATAATGTATATATTTATTTCTATTTGTTGTGGTTCAAACATGTAATTAGTTGTATCTTACTATTATTACCTTATAGACGATACTTGTTGTGTATTTTTCTTGTCATCTAACCAGATGTGCTTTGCACGTATATTCCACTTAATTGTTTATCCTATATTTTATTTTTTAGAACTATTTTTGTATATTAATTTTTATTTTATAAGTTATGACATAATAGATAACGTTCTTTTTGTTGGCTCTCATATTTGACTTCTCGATTGACTGTGTACATAAATCAAATATAGAATTATATGACTGTCCATAGTTAACTGAGAAAGGTTTCCTTCTTTTTTTTTAACGAAAAAACTAAAAATTAAAATTAAAGAATATATTTTATCTGTGAAATCATATATATAATCACATTTTTATCTTACACCCAACAAAGATATAGTTCATATACTTGTAAACAATTTTCAATTTATTCAACCAAGCATGATTTGTTTAAGGAAAAATAACAACACCATGTTATCACATATATAGGGGCGGTATAATAATATGAAAAATTATTGGTCAAAAGTTAATATAAGGAAAGATGAAAGATAGAAATAATTAATGTAATAACTATGAGAATTCTTAATATTATAACTAAAGAGTGTAAAAGAATGTGAGTAACATTTGCAATAATTTGCAGTAACTAAGAGAATATATAATGTTATAACTAAAGAATTAATGTGCAATAGATGAATTTCTAATAAATTTTATACTTGCATAAATAAATAGGACTTTAATTAATATTACTATTTTCTTATAGGCATTAGATTTTTATTTAGTGTAGGGACAAAATGAAAATGTTTATTCCATATTACTGAATATAAAATTTATTTTGTCAATGATAAATTTTAAATGAGTCATATATATTCACATCTTTTTCCTGACAATCTAAATCACATAAGTAGCATTTATAAATAAAGTCATTCTTTTGTCTTGAGCATCAAAAAAATAAATCGTGACAATTCTCTAACTCTTGAGAAGTTTAATAATTTTGGAAAAAGATATTCAGAAGCATATATCTACTTCACAAGAGAAAATTGTTAAACAAAAACAAATGAATTTAGACTACAATAAAAATTAAACTAATACAAATTTCAACTGGCGTTATTACAAGTCATATAAACTTTTCTTTGTAAAAAATACTCAAATATTAAGAAATAGTAAATCAATAAACAAAAGGGCAATGTTTATATAGTAGTAACTATTTTGAAGCAAACTTCGTGACAATCTAAATCACATAAGTAACATTGATAAATAAAGTTATTCTTTTGTATTGAGCATCAAAAAACAAATCGTGACAATTCTCTAACTTTTGAGAAGTTTAATAAGTTTTGAAAAACATATTCAGAAGCATATATCTACATCACAAGAGAAATTGTTAACAAAAACAAATGAATTTAGACTACACCATGTTAACTTCATATATTGGAACCTTACATATTAATGTATGTACTAAGAAAAAAATAATTAGTATATCATCAAAATTATTTTCATCAAGTACTCGAGGTTAAAAGAATATACTCTCTTAGGATAATACAATTACTTCATCAAAATAGTGGTACCTCATATTTCGGTAAACTTCGAACTCACTCAATGACAATAAATCACGAAATTTTTTAAAATGCAAGAAGAAGAAGAAGAAGAATAGAAGATTAAAAAAAAATTGTGATTGAAAAATGAGATGAACCCCCTCTATTTATAGTCAACAAAGGGTAATGTGAACAAGTATTTTTTTTGTCTTATTTGAAAAGTCATGATCTTTCTAAGAAGTCACAAGCCTTTGAAAAAGTCCAAACTCTTTGGAAAAATCCCAACTCATCGAAAAATCACAACTTATCAGAAAAGTCACAACTCATCGAAAAAGTCACAACCTAAGTTAGAGATATTTTAATAATTTAACATTTAAGTTAGGAGTTCATGCTTTTAACGTAATATAATATATATATATATATATATATATATATATAGATATATAATGGAAGGAATGTTGTGAGTTGAAATGACCAAAATGCCATAGATAAATAAAAATAATTATCAAAAACAGACATGTTGATAACACACAGTATACCCACACTTGTACTATGGTAGAATTTATCACCGAAATAAATTATTTGGAGTCGGTGTAGAATTGTAAATGATAGCCTTAGTAGTTAGTTAATGCACGAGACAGTATCATCAGATTTGATCTAAACATGTCTTTTGTTCGCACCATCCGTGTTCCCTAGGATGATGACCTAACAAAAAATACCACAAACCCTACCACAACTGATACAACAAGAACTAAAACAGCTATCATGAAGTTAAAACCAGCTGGGTTTGTCGATTTCTGGTCACTTCTCAAGATTGTAGCAGCTCTATTTTGATTTGAGAGTGAATCGTCTGACTTAGGTAGTAAAGCATACGGGGTTGACACCTCCCGAAATGATTTTGTGGTGGATAATACCAATGCAGGAGCTTCAGCTTCAGCTTCAGGCTCCAAGATTTTTGAAGAAATACTTGGGAACTCTAGAGACATGAGCTCGGCAAAATGATCCACGAGAACCTAACTCAAAGTACAGCACATCAGAGCTGAGTTGAAATCATAATCTCAAAATTACCAACATATTTAGTTGCATTGAGCAATATGGTAAACAATGTCTTAACAAATACTGCTCAAACCACTTCTGTACCAAATAGACAACTTCATTGCCAAGGCAGATCAGCTGCATCTTGAATGTACCATTATCACAGAGAGACAACAAAATGTTCCATTAAAGAACTCAGCAAGTGAGATCAAGGATGGAGCTTCCTTCAGTACGACAACCATTATAGAGAGGTATTAGATTTTCTTGACAACTTTTAATCCTAAAAATGAATAAATTGTCACAAGAAACACATTCCTTGAGGTGAAACACCTACTGATAAGTACAAGAGAATCATGTATTCTATAACCACACTCGTGTGTTTGTCTTTAGAGCATGCAAACACGCAAAGACAAAAGTGCCTGCAGCTTCAGTATAGTTACAGGACTTTGAAGTAGTGCCTATTCCAACAACCTTTCTACATCAAAGGCGTAACTTCTTTGCTTTAAGGCAAGAAAACAACATAATATAAGGAAAAAATGTCATTTATGTTTAATGGAAGACAAATAAAAGAAATACGGCTGAGTGTAATATAATTTGCTTCACCAAAGAATATAAAGGGTGCAACTAACTCACCTCAACTGATTCAGATGGTTGTATATAGTCACAGAGGAATGTATCAGCCAGCCAGGGTAAAAATACTCTTCGAGGAAATGACATACTGCAATGTTTTCTGTTTAAAAAGAAAGTAAACCATTTTAGCATTGCTAACAAGCCAACTGCTACCGTCCAGTTAACGATAAAGGTCAAAGTGTAATAACTACAAAGCTGTTTAGAAAAATGAAATACATTTAGCATATTTACAAACCGATAAACCAGGCCGAACCGAGCCATAAGCACCCTTAGTCATGACCAGTGACAAAATTACTCTTGTAGTTTTCAATAAGAATATGGTAGAGGAGTATCAAATTTCATCAGAAAAATGGAGGAAGTATCAAATCCTCAATTTTGAATAAAGTTTATAAAGGCACAATTAAATCTCACTAAAATACTAAAGTCCGTACCAGAAAAATAAATAAAGAACTAGAGAATTTTGCAAACAGATGTCAATGCTATTGTGAAAAATAAGTGTGCAGGGTTAAATGTGGACATCTAGAGGAGAGAATAGATACCATTACACTGTGTTATACCTCTGTAACTGTAAATCAAGTTGCAGAACTGCACTCCCACTTAATATCTGGTTGTTGCTCTCTTCAGTTCTGTCCTCTTTAGAATCTGATTTCCTGTCTGCCTCATCACACATGATATCTAACCTGCTTCTTAGACTCTTAATTATGTCTTCCTAAACACCAAGAAGCCAGATGTTAAATGCTGGAGAAAAAAATCCTTAAGACAACCAGGATCTACGTTCTAGCATTATGCAGAACAAATGTAAGCTAAAACCAAGTTCACTCTAACCCAAATAGTAAAATATTCCCTTTTTGATATAAAAATCACTGTTAAATCCAGAACCAGGTGTACGATGCCTGTGATCTTATGGAGAAAATACAAATGAATCTCTCTGCTTCGAGTAATCCGTCTAATATGCTCTGATAATATGGCTTTTTGAAGCCCAACAAATGGACTGAAATCTAATAGAACATCTTAACATCCATGAATGCAACAGATAAGTAAGAACAGATTTACTGAACTTTTTAGTTCTTAATGTAGGGAACAAACAACATCAAATGCAAAGTTAAATTACCTTTATGTCAGCCAAAGCTTGAGAAGATGGTTCCTTCGAATTTGAGTAAGCATAGGAGCAGACAGAGCCGCTGAAGACTAGAAGACCTGTAATCTCTTTTTGGCTGTATACTTCACAATAAAAAGGAAATGAATGACAGAAAGAAAATAATTACTGTATAGCAACTAACTCACTTCATCAACTTCAAAAGAAAGGCCAATTGTGTAAATTGGAGAATGTTTACAGACCTTCCAAATACTTATCTTCCATGAAAGGTAGGAGAAATTCAACATCATGTACACCACCTAAATCAAATTGCTCATCCTCATTTGCCTAGAAATGAAAGAAAAAAGGTGAAAATTGTCAAACATAATAACTAAGGAAAGAGACCGGGCTCATATTTTGATAGAGGACAAAAGCAAGCAAATCAAGTACAGAGTAGCAGCCTATATCATATTTTAAGGACCATTTGATATGTCACTACTCAAGAGCTAGCACTGTTTAGAGTAAATTTTAGCAATTATTAATTAAAATGAATGAAAGAGAAAAAACAAGTTGCAACATGAGGTAGTGAAATCATAAGGAGTGGCCATGAGGATGCTTTAAGAGGAAAACTACCATCCAAGTTTAAAAATAGTGGTTGATCTAGACTCATGCCACAAGTCTAGAGTTCATTACCAATTTCCCATCAATCAATGCTTTGGCACCTTTAAGCTCTTTGGCATGAATTGAAATGCCATGATGAAGAATGTCAACTAATCTTTTGCTACTTGAACCCTGGTATATGGGCAACCTGGAAACATGTTGCTCAATCGTGAGACGTTTTTCTGAATTTCTCTGAGATCTCTAAGAAATTCAGTAAAAAGAATAAACAAACATAATTGATTTGAGTAATTAAAAACAAAAGGTAGGACTAGGGAAAACACTTCATGAGTTATATGGCGGTACTAACAAGGTAGCACAAGTTTGAAATGAATCGTTTTTGCGAACATAAACGAGGGGATGGTAACACAAAGTCCTGGATGCACAACAGTCATTAAGAGCCATGATTCTGGCAGAAAATATCATATTTGACATATCTCTATTTTATGAAAGTCTCAAAACTGAATTGTTTCCACTGGTACAGTGGGTTTACTAAGCTTGTGTGGGGAGATATACCATATAGGGATCACAAGAAAAGGAAGTGCAAAGCTACAAAACAAAGAAGAGAAAGGATCTACTCTAGATGCAACCTCCAGTTCATCATAACATGGAGGGATAATAGTTTTCCAATCACACCTTTATTACGACAAAATGACCCTAACGAATATAAAATGGCTGCAACCAACCAAAGGAAATGTTTAACAGTTTTATTGCATACCACTTGATCAAAAAGGCCTACTCACCCACCACCCACCACCACCACCACCACCCCCTCCCCACCCCCCAAAAAAAAGAATTATTTCTTTCTTCTGTCATACTAGTGCAGAAAAATAAACCAAAAGCCATAGTGTGATACAAGCCAATAGCTCAACAACGAAAGTTGCCCAATATTTGAGACAAGCCATTTTTCACTCACAATTTTGGCTAACGTTCTTCGACATTAATATGGCACTTCTCCTACCTCTCTAGTGCCAGGGAAAACGGGGAGGAAGTTTTTGCCTCCTTATCAATGTTGTCATGCCAAAAAAGAAATATCCTAACAAACAATCATGCAATTAAAATAACGAACAAATGAGTTGCTTGAGATAGTTGGAATTTCCTTTTTGGTTTGAAATGTGGCACTATGAAATCAAAACTCATGTTCAGTCCAACACACCAAAGAATGATTTAAAAAATGAGCAATTCTAGCAAACAAAAGTTCACCTCAAATCAAAGTCATATGTGCATCGGAATGCCTGACGAGTACTCAGAATTTTACCCATTTTGAAATCACAAGGTCGTAAATTGCCTGATGTAATATTTGAAGCCAACGAGCAATTTCCACATGTCCACCTGGAATACATCTTATCTCTTAAATCAACAATAAGGGACGATTCGAATATGTTTTTGAAAAGGAAGGGCCTATTTGATTATAAGAACACATAGTTAGACAAGATTACCTCAAGGGACTGTAACCAATGTGCACAAGCAATCTTTCATCCCAATCCACTTCCAACAAAGGGGCCACTTCAGCAACTGCTTTTGCAGCCTGTACAGTTATTTCATAAGCAAGTGAGAGAGAGCAAGAATACAAATAATGACAGAAGTTAACATCGAAAACTAATTATGAGTAATGGAAATTATAAGTTTCATGTTTCATCATGTTTCATTAAACATTTTCTGGAAGGTAAGTTAACTTCACCGTAAAAGGCATAACAACAGAGACTTACTACATGAGAGCCTCCTATTCCAGAAAATAACACAATAGTGCAGTTATGGTAGAGCCTCAGGTTTAGAGTGGAAAATATAGCATTGACTTCAAGTTATGATAGTAAAACCTGACAGAGTGATGGTTGAATTTTTTAATGAGCTCTCATTGGTCCACACATAGATGCCAACCACCTTCACACCACCCACTAGCATTCTCCCAACCTGAAAGATGCATATATTAAACCATTAGCTCTACAGTAGACTTACATGATTCATAATATTTTTGATGATTCACTATGATGGCCTTTTCCACGAAATCTGAAGTTAGTGTCAATTGACAAGTTGCCAGCACAACACCCAGATAGTTAGGACGAGAGATATTTCTTAAATCCACTATACCCATTTGAATATTCTTCCAAACAAAGTTCATATATAAGGCTACAGAGTTGAGAAAACATATGGTAGTTGTCAAATAGAGGAGGTATTTGCATCACACAGTGTAGCAGCAGTAGAAGCATTTCTGTTGCATAGTTTGCGGACATCACAGAAAATGAAAGGCACGTTGGTGCAGGCATCAAGGTGCTACTACATGCGCCTCAACACCCACAAGCTCTGTCAAGCAAAGGGCAGCACTAAACATTACATACAGCCAGTAACCTTATATTTTGACTGTTAGAAGATATCATAGGTGATTTTTACCAAATAAAGATATCATATTTTTTTTTAGATGAAGTAAGATATTGTCATTGATATATGACAACTGGAAGGTATCAAATTGCAAACGCAAAAGCCAATAGGGTTTTGAAGCAAAAAAAAAACATGTTAGCTTCTATTACAAAAAAACTCAACTAGTACCATGGAGCTAACAGAGCCCCAAAAAACTGTCAATGCTATCAGGAGTAGGAAATTTCAGCTAAACAAAACAACTAACCATCTAGCTTTCAAAACAACTAAGCATCTAGGCTTCCTGGGATTGAATTGGAGTTGATGCCCCATCAGAACACCTATGGTTTCTTTCTTTTACACAACCCAAGAGATGACTAGATACCACCAAAAAAAAGATATCATATATGATGTGTTTGTGAAGAGGAATAAATATTAGAAATCTAGGATTCGAGAACTAATCACTAATCTATACCGGAAACTTGCGACTACATTTTAGCATCTGAATCAAAGATTTTAAAATGGTTCTGAACTAAATGAATAGGGACTTTACAACATACATGTCAGTTAGGATTAGAATATACTTTTTATTGGCGGGATCTAAAAGCTCACCAACATGTTGAGAAGCCTTCAGCCGATTCCCCTAAGCAATTAAAGGGCTACGGCTTTCGCAGAATCAAACGAAGGTCAAAAGACCATTCGACTTCATTTCTCAAGAAATTCCCATAGCAGAAGATCCCGAATTTGAGACTTTCTACACAAAAAATATTCTCTTAAACGAAGGTACGTTTGGAAACATGTCTTCCTATTTCATCCTTTCTCGAATCTCCTTTAACGGAAGAAACATCAACAAATGCGGAAGAAATGGACAAAATCTTATTTGTGGACTTGTTTTTTATATTTTCCTTTTGTTCAATGTTGTCCAGAAATGAATTGAAATGGAGAAAAATGGTTTGCAAGGATTCATATAGCCTACCCAACTTGTTTGGATTTGAGTCATAGTTGTTGTATCACATTTTTTCTCTCTTCTTATGCACCTATTTTAAACCAATCCCACACCTGAATTGCACTTCGCAGCAGATTCCCTAGCGAACACTAGGTGCTTTCATATACTTTTTGCCTTATGTAATACATAGAAATATGCAAATAACAGGCTAGTAGTATAGGCTCACATAGATTCATTTGAGGAAAATACATGGATCTCCCACACCCAAGGGTGTGGCCTAGTGGTCAATGAAGTGAGTTCAGAACCATGAGGTCTCAAGTTCAAATCTCAGTAGATACAATACACTAGGTGATTTCTTCTCATATGGCCTAGCCTTGGTAGACAAAATTACCTAATACATATTACTAGTGAGAGGAGGCAGAAAAATTATGGAATTAGTCAAGATGTGTGCAAGCTTGACCAGACATCATGGTTATCAAAAAAATAAAATACATGGATTTCCAGAGTAGTTCATACAAATTCTTCCACACAATTTGGCAGTGGGTGGAAGTAAGTAAGAAAGGAGAAGTAGTAACCTAACATAATTCTAGTGCTGTAGAATGTGAATTTGTAATTATAAAATAGAGAAGGGTAAAAAGTGAACCTGACGAGCGTGTTCAGCAAGCCAATCTTTGTCAATAAATAATGCGGAAGAATGAGGGAGCGACTTCCCTTTGGATGCCTTTTTCCGATCATCTTTAGCCCCGCCAATTATGGAACATGCCGGCTCACCGTTGTCATTCAGCGGTGTTGGGACTAAATCGAATATGAATCCTCGATCTAATTTCCCACTTAAATTCCCAATTACAAGCCCTACCTGTCGAAACAAATTATCCTTATATATATATACAACTTTGGTCATTCATACATGAATTTATTATTTTTCTAATATACCTGACAAGGACTCCAGATTTGCTAAGCCGATTTTCAGCTAATTTGACCTGACTTTCTTCCCCCACTACTACTTTCACCATCTCTTTCTTTTCTTTGCACTTTGCGCTTTGCACTCTGATATAGAACCACCACTATTATTTATTGAAATTTCTCTAATAGGAAAAGGGTCCAATATAAGTTGCACTATCCTAATTAGGGTGTTGATAAAAAATATATATTATTTTTAATTTATAAAAAGTAACAGACTTTAGTGTGACTTACAAATATAGGTGTTTACAAATTTTATTCACCTCTTAAACAACATTTTGGGGTAGTACAAAGACAAATCCCCAAAAGCGCTATGTAACGAATATAGGACTGATGTTATCACTTGTAATCTTCGGGTGTATGATAACTTCTTCGAATAAGTGATAGTTATCCGCGCGGTTATTTTGGCAATCAATTGATGACATTTCATCTTCAACCACTTCTTGGAGAACAGAGGTAATCCCAAGTATCTAATTGAAATGAGCTAAGTGTAAATTCAATTCTATTGAGTATTCCTTCTTTAGTCTCCCCAATTACCTTTATTATAAAAATGTGGGACTTCTCCATGTTTGCCTCTAAGCCGGTAACCTGACCCGACTAAAATGTGTATGTGCTTCAACATTTTAGTCACTGACTTAACAAAATAAAACAGTGACGCATGGATGTGAACACATAGAAAGCAAATCATTCTCTTAATCATGGTTTGGAAACACATTGGTAGGTGTAAACTAATACACGAGGAAGAGAGAAAATAAACAAACAAATTCCTATTCGGGCTGTTTAGCCATCACAATAGGGAGTATAGCTATAAGTCAATATAGACTACTTTAGTTCTCAAAATGCGAACAGAAACCCTTCTCTTTTTTTCTGGAATTTTTACTACAAGGCCTGAGATCATCTTAGAAGTGATAAAAGAATCAAAATAAGACAGTCTTGACCATTGAATCTCTTTGATTTAACATACAAAGAAAGAAAGAATAAGAAGAAGTAACCAAGGTAGGTTCAAATCTAAAGAAAATAACATTTCGCGATTTTAATCATAAGATGTGAATTACTGCAAGATACAAGAAAGAATTTACCTCTTTCTTTCCGGGCAGCGAGTTGAGAAGACACTCCGAATTCCCAAACCTTAAAGGAGTACTCTTAGGTATCCAAACCGTCTCCGTGAAGAGAGGGGATTTTTATAGGAGAGATTTGAGGGGAATTTCTATCCTAGAACCGATGTGGGAGAATCCCAAATTCAAAAATCTTAGAGGATAAACGAATTCGTACTATTTTGAACGAAATTGGAAAAGGAAAATCGAAAATCAGAAGGATATTACCGTAGAGAAGCTTGAGGCGTCTTCGAGTTCGTGCTATGCAGGCGGAGAGTACGAATTGAAGGAGAAAAGAGGAAAATGACAGATAAAATTGGGAATTAGACTGTTCGTTGGGTTCGCGGCGTTGAGCGCATCTTGTTTTGTTGGAATGAAGAAGAACAAAATGGGTCTGGGCCTCTGTTTTAGAAGAAGAGTGGGCTGGTCATTGAAAATGGGCCAAATATTGGCTGATTTTACTAAGTTAGAGGTCCAATTCAATTAAAAGAAGGGGAAATTTCACATATACCCACAAGAATAAATTTAAGGAAAATTCACGCCATATACACATTTAAGAGTAAATTTTACGGGTTTTAAACATATTTTTAAATAAATTCTTACTTATAACAGTTTATTTACGGGTTATGACATATCAATTAAATTTAATTTAATTTAAAAATTAATTTCAATTTATTTAATAAATGATTAATCTGTTTATATTTTTTCTATTATTAATTAATAATATTTAATTAATTTGATTTCAATTCCTTTTTTAAAATTGAAATCATCAGTTACACATATTAAGGGATTTACATAGATTAGACTTCCTTATTTAATGTTACACTCCAAACCTCATATACCTCAATCCCACCACCCTCCACCCACGCCTATTCAAATCTACATGCCATCACCCCCACTACCCCACTTTCACCTTGTCTCTCTCATTTTTCTCACCAACCAACTACACCATTTTCACAAT